AAAAAAATAAATTTAATTATTTTTAATATTTTCCCATTAACCATCTAAAGATATATTAAAACAAAACCAAAAAAACTTCTTTGTGTTCATACTTATTCACACTTATCAATTAGATAATTTATTCTATTAAACTCCTGAACTGAATTCAAACTAGACTAGTTAATACCTTGAGCAATGCCCGGGTCCATGAAATAAAAAAATATACATTTAAAAAGTTAATATTTAATAATTAATATATTAATAAAAAATTAACAATTAGATAATAATTTCTTTTTATTATTAATTAATAGTAAAATAATACCATATCATTACTTAAAAAAAAAAAGATATCACTAAGTTTCAAGAAATAAAAAAGAAAAAAAATAGATGGGGCATTAGGTTCTTTTTTCATTTACTTATTTGAGGACTACAGTTGCTTGAAAAATTGAGATGATAGAAGTGGAAATCCTCATTAAAGCAAGAAGACCATCCAATATCAAATGCTTTTAAAAAAGACATGTACAAAATAATAATTAAGATTAAAAGGTTGAATAGCTAAAAAGATATAAAAGAAATATATATTCTCATTACAATATGTCTTATAAAAGATATTTAATAAAAAAAATACACTTGAAGTTCTTAATTTAAACATTACATATTTATTTATTTCATATAATTCATATAAGAAAACACAACTTGTTAATTTGGTTCAACTAAACACAAAATGTCATCAATTTTTCTCAATCTTTATGAGCTTCTTGATCTTTGTTGCATATTGCTGAAGTAGGTTATTAGAAACTTCATCTAGACCAGACTCAGTAAATGACCTCTTTGAATAGATAACAATATTAAAAATTAAGTGTTGAAACCATAAAATGTCAAGCTAACTTATGGTAATAAAGAGTTGATACAATTTTTATTAAAAGGTAAAAACTCACCCCATTAATATATTCTTTCATTGAAATACTTGCATTCCCGTCACATGAAAAATTTTTGAATTTCATAAGATTCCTATATGATTAAATTATAAACAAAAATTTCAAAAGATTTGAACTTAATTTGAGAATAAAAATATAATAAACATAGGCAAACACACATTTCCAGTTGTTTGTAAAAAGCTATTAATGATCTTTTCATCAAAAAAAATCTTTCCAACATTGTAGATACTTTCTTCGAAACTGTTAATATTATTATGTTTGATGCTGTACCTAAAAATCATTTTCTTATTCTTCAGAGCGTCAAGCCCAACAAGATAAGTTTTTGGATCACCACCCTTATATAATTAAAATTAATTATATTATCAAAAATAGCATATACAGAGATTAAATCATACACATAAAAATAAATATTGAAGATGACAAAGAAAATCACTCTTTTGAAGTGCAGGTCACATAAATCAGAAGCAAATATATTAAGAAATTCTTTTGTGGCAGAATCAAAAAGAATGAAGGATGCAACATCAGTTCCATCAACTACGTGGACTTGAATGCAATACCTTTATAACAAAAAACAATAGAATTAGTGTAAAACAATGGAATTAGTATCAAATAATTAAAACTATAACTTAATTAAAATTTAATATTTTTTCTATGTTTATGAAAAAAAAAACTATGAATTTCAAATCACAAACCTCAATCTAAGATTTGACCATCCCTGGTCACATTTTCTGCAATACCATATTCCAAAGTCCTGCTCAACACTATTTGTACAATTATAGTAAGATTTGTAGAACCAATTATGTGTAGATTCAATTAAAATAATCTCAGCAAGAGTCAAACAAGTCATAATCTACAAATGAAAATGTATAACACATTAAGTAGATAAAAAAATTAAATATAATACCTATAAATAAAAATGAGGAAAACAGCGTAAGAATTGCTTCTTTAGACTCCTTAATTTCCACAATAATTTTCCTTAAGATAGAATGCAAAACTTCATCACCAAGTGACAATGTTCCAAAGTCAACTGTGGTCGACTTTTCAATGTGAACCCCTTCACTAGTAGAAAACTTACAAATATTAAACTTAAGTAAAAATAAAAATGTTGATGCAAAAAAATAAAAAAATAAAAAAATACTAAAAACAGTAATATTGG